CCATTGATGGCTGCACTTTCAGTCACTATGCCCCAAAACTCTGGATCACCCTTCCTCTATCCCTCCGCCTTGCCACTTCCTTCCCCATCCTCTTGTCGTGTCTGACGAACTTCCTATTTGACCATGCCTACGGTCACCTCCCCCTCCCCACGGCTCGGTATCGTGCTCCTCCACTGTCAAACGCTCTGGGACGCTGCCCTGCGTGAAGGGCTCTGTGTAAATGCAAGTTGTTGTTGCTAGTAACCCCTGGGTTGGAGCTGTGTGTACTGGTAAAAAGAAATTCCCCAGTTGCTATCTCACAGAAGTGTCTGACAGTAACACACTGTAAAACATCTCCCACAGAGCGCGCAACCCACTCCCCTCTCTCCGTTCCCCTCTCCCCCACTCTCCTCTTCACGCTCCCCCAACCCCCCTCCCCTCTTCCCCATCCTTCTCCCCCCTCCCCCCCTCCGCTCTCCCCCACCCCCCCTCCCAACCTGAGAATTTGCCAAATGATTAGAGAAAGCGAAACTTATCAGAGTTTAGATATTTAATCAGTTTAATGTAGTGACATGTATATTAGCCAACAGAGGGCGGAGGAGAGCCAGGGAGCGCTCCTACATAGAGCGCAGAGTAACTAAAGCTAATCTAACAATCCGCTGCCGGCTCCGGGGAGAGTGAGAGCCGCTGCCGGCTCCGGGAGGAATGACAGCCGCTGCCGGCTCCGGGGGGAGTGACAGCCGCTGCCGGCTCCGGGGGGAGTGACAGCCGCTGCCGGCTCCGGGGGGAGTGACAGCCGCTGCCGGCTCCGGGGGGAGTGACAGCCGCTGCCGGCTCCGGGGGGAATGACAGCCGCTCCCGGCTCCGGGGGAAGTGACAGCCGCTGCCAGCTCTGGGGAGAGTGAGAGCTGCTGCCGGCTCCGGGGTAGATGTGCCTAGCCTGGGCTGGGCCAGGCTAGGCTTCGCTAGGCTGGGCTGGGCTGGGTCGGGCTGGCCGGGGTCAGGCTGGGTCGAGTCGGGCTGGGTCGGGCTGGGCCGGGCTGTGCTGGGTCAGGCTATGCTGAGTTGGGTCAGCCTGGACTGGGTCGGGCTGGGTCGGGCCGGCCTGGGCTGGGTCGGGCCGAGCCAGGCTGAGTCGGTCTGGGCTGGCTCGGACTAGGCTGGGCTGGGCTGGGTCGTGCTGGGCTGAGCTGGGTCTGGGCCGGGCTGGGCTGAGTCAGGCTGGGCTCGGATGGGCTGGGCCGGGCTGGACTGGTTCAGGATGGGCTGAGCTTAGTTGGGCTGGGCTGAGCTGGGTTGGGCTGGGCTTGGCTGGTCTGGGTCGGGCTGGGTTGGGCTGGGCTAGGCTGCCTGTGCTGAGCTTCCTGGGTTGGGCTGCCTGCGCTGGGCTGGGCTAGGCTGGGCTGGGTCGGGCTGGGTCCGGCTGGGCTGGGCTGGTTCGGGCTGGGTCCGGCTGGGCTGTGCTGCCTGGGCTGAGCTGCCTGGGTTGGGCTGCCTGCGCTGGGCTGGGCTAGGCTAGGCTGGGCTGGGTCGGCTGGGCTTGCCTGGGCTGGGCTGGATTACCTGGCCTGGGCTGCCTGGGCTGGGTCGGGCGAGGCTAGGCTGGGCTAGACTGGGCCGGGTCGGGCTGGGCTGCCTGGGCTGAGCTGCCTGGGGTGGGCTGCCTGCGCTGGGCTGTGCTGAGCGAGGCTAGGCTTGGCTGGGCTGGGCTTGGCTAGGCTGCTGGGTCGGGCTGGGCTTTCCTGGGCTGGGTCAGGCTGGGTCGCGCTGGGCTGGGCTGCCTAGCCTGCGCTGGGCTGGCTAGGCTTGGTTGGGCTGGGCTGTGCCGGGCTGGCTAGACTGGGCTAGGCTTGGCTGGGCTGGGCTAGGCTAGGTTGTGTCGGGCTGGGCTTGCCTGGGCTGGGCTAGGCTCGGCTGGGCTGTTTCGTGCTGGGCTTGCCTGGGCTGGGTCGGATTGCACTAGGTCTGGCTGGGTCGGGCTGGGCTGGGCTGGATCGAGCTGGGCTGGATCGAGCTGGGCTGGGTCGCGCTGGGCTGGATCGGGCTGGGCTGCTTGGGTTGGACTGCCTGGCTTCGCTAGGCTGGCCAGGGTCAGGTTGGGTCGAGTCGGGCTGGGTCGGGTCGGGCTGGGCCGGGCTGTGCTGGGTCAGGCTATGCTGAGTTGGGTCAGCCTGGACTGGGTCGGGCTGGGCTGGACTGGGTCGAGCCGGCCTGGGCTGGGTAGGGCCGAGCCAAGCTGAGTCGGTTTGGGCTGGCTCAGACTAGGCTGGTATGGGCTGGGCTGGGTTGTGCTGGGCTGAGCTGGGTCGGGCCGGGTCGGTCTGGGCTGGGCTGGGTTGGACTGGGCTGGTTTGGGCTGGGCTGGGTCAGGCTGGGCTGGGTCGGGCTGGGCTGGGCTGGGTCGGGCTGGCCGGGGTCAGGTTGGGTCGAGTCGGGCTGGGTCGGGTCGGGCTGGGCCGGGCTGTGCTGGGTCAGGCTTTGCTGAGTTGGGTCAGCCTGGACTGGGTCGGGCTGGACTGGGTCGGGCCGGCCTGGGCTGGGTCGGGCCGAGCCAAGCTGAGTCGGTCTGGGCTGGCTCAGATTAGGCTGGGCTGGGTTGTGCTGAGCTGAGTCGGGCCGGGTCGGTCTGGGCTGGGCTGGGCTGGGCTGGGTCGGACTGGGCTGGTTTGGGCTGGGCTGGGCTGGGTCAGGCTGGGCTGGGTCGGGCTGGGCTGGTCTGGGCTCGGCTGGTCTGGGTCGGGCTGGGCTGGGTTGGGCTAGGCCACCTGTGCTGAGCTGCCTGGGTTGGGCTGCCTGCGCTGGGCTGGGCTAGGCTGGGCTGGGTCGGGCTGGGTCCGGCTGAGCTGGGCTGCCTGGCCTGGGCTGGGTTAGGCTAGGCTTGGCTGGGTCAGGCTGGGCTGGGTCAGGCTTGGTCAAGTCGGGCTGTGTCGGGCTGGGCCGGGCCGGACATGGCTGGGTTAGGCTGGGTCGGGCTGGGCTGATTTGGGCTGAGCTGGATCGGGCTGGGCTGGCTCGGGCCAGGCTGGGCCGGGTCGGGTCGGACTGGGCTGGGTCGCGTCGGGCTGGGCTGGGTCGAGCTGGGCTGGGCTGGGTCGGGCTAGGCTGGGCTGGGTCGGGCTGGGCTGGTTCGGGCTGGGTCCGGCTGGGCTGGGCTGCCTGGGCTGGGCTGCCTGGCCTGGGATGGGCTAGGCTAGGCTTGGCTTGGCTGGGTCAGGCTGGGCTGGGTCAGGCTTGGTCAAGTCGGGCTGGGCCGGGCATGGCTGGGTTAGGCTGGGTCGGGCTGGGCTGATTTGGGCTGAGCTGGATCGGGCTGGGCTGGCTCGGGCCAGGCTGGGCCGGGTCGGGTCGGACTGGGCTGGGTCGCGTCGGGCTGGGCTGGGTCGAGCTGGGCTGGATTGGGTCGGGCTAGGCTGGGTCGGGCTGGGCTGGGTCGGGCCGGGCTGGGCTGGGTCGAGCCGGGCTGGGCTGGGCTGGGTCGGGCCAAGCTGAGCTGGGCTGGGTCGGGCCGGGCTGGGTCGGACTGGGCTGGGTCGGGCTGGGTCGAGCCGGGCTGGGTCGGCTGGGCTTGCCTGGGCTGGGTCGGCCTGGGCTGGGTCGGCCTGGGCTGGGTCGGCCTGGGCTGGGCCGGGCTGGGTCAGGCTTTGTCAAGTCGGGCTGGGTCGGGCTGGGCTGGACTTGGCTGGGCTAGGCTGGGCCGGGCATGGCTGGGCTGATTTGAGCTGAGCTGGATCAGGCTTGGCTGGCTCGAGCCAGGCTGAGCTGGGTCAGGCTGGGCTGGGCTGGTTCGGGCTGGGCTGTGTCGGGCCGCGCTGGGCTGGACTGGGTCGTGCTGGGCTGGGCTGGGTCGGGCTGGGCTGAGCTGGTCGGGCTGGGCTGAGCTGGTCGGGCTGGGCTGAGCTGGCCGGGCTGGGCTGAGCTGGCCGGGCTGGTCGGGCCGGGTCGGGCTGAGCTGGCTGGGCTGAGCTGGCCGGGCTGGGCCGGGCTGGGCTGGGTCGGGCTGAGCTGGCCGGGCTGAGCTGGCCGGGCTGGGTTGCTCATACACGGGAGTCGAAGGCATACATCTTGGCCGTCACCGTCCGCTCTGCCTGTTGCTGCGGCGATGATGATGCTGGGTCGGGCTGGGCTGAGCTGGGCTGGGCTGCTCTGGGTCGGGCTGGGCTAGGCTGCCTTTGCTGAGCTGCCTGGGTTGGGCTGCCTGCGCTGGGCTAGGCTGGGCTGGGTCGGGCTGGGCTGGGCTGGTTCCGGCTGGTTCCGGCAGGGCTGAGCTGCCTGGGCTGGGCTGCCTGGCCTGGGCTGGGCTAGGCTTGGCTTGGCTGGGTCAGGCTGGGCTGGGTCAGGCTTGGTCAAGTCGGGCTGTGTCGGGCCGGACTTGGCTGGGTTAGGCTGGGTCGGGCTGGGCTGATTTGGGCTGATTTGGGCTGAGCTGGATCGGGCTGGGCTGGCTCGGGCCAGGCTGGGCCGGGTCGGACTGGGCTGGGTCGCATCTGGCTGTGCTGGGTCGGGCTGGGCTGGGCTGGACTGGGTCGTGCTGGGCCAGGCTGGGCCGGGTCGGACGGGGCTGGGTCGCATCTGGCTGTGCTGGGTCGGGCTGATTTGGGCTGAGCTAGATCGGGCTGGGCTGGCTCGGGCCAGGCTGAGCTGGGTCAGGCTGGGTCAGGGTGGGCTGGGCTGGTTCGGGCTGGGCTGTGTCGGGCCGGGCTGGGCTGGACTGGCTCGTGCTGGGCTGGGCTGGGTCAGGCTGGGCTGGGTTGGTTCGTGCCGGGTCGAGCTGGGCTGGGTTGGTTCGTGCCGGGTCGGGCTGGGTCGGGCTGGGCTGGGTCGGGCCGAGCTGGGCTGGGTCGGGCTGGGCTGGGTCGGGCTGGGCCGGGCTGAGCTGGGCCGGGCTGAGCTGGGCCGGGCTGGGCTTAGTCGGGCTGGGCTTAGTCGGGCTGGGCTGGGCTGGGTCGGGCTGGGCTGGGCTGCGTCGGGCTGGGCTGGGCTGAGCTGGGCTGGGCTGGGCTGGGCTGAGCTGGGCTGGGCCGGGCTGGGCTGAGCTGGCCGGGCTGGGTTGCTCACACGCGGGAGTCGAAGGCGTACATCTTGGCCGTCACCGTCCGCTCTGCCTGTTGCTGCGGCGATGATGTCCTCTCAGCGCCCGAGACTGCAGCCAAAGGAAGAAACTGTTAATAAAATGACGTTTCCCCCGGCGTTGCAGTCGGAAAGCAAAACACTTAACAATCCCAGTGAGACCCAGCGAGCGGGAAACACAGCCTCCTCAGCGAGATAGACAACATCCGGGTGCAGCGTCAGTGTGGGGGGAGGGGGGTGGGGGCGGTGTGGGGGGATGCGGGTGGTGGCGAGAGCCACAAGCTTGTGACATGGAGGTGGGAGTGAGAAGTTGAGATGGCAGGACGCTGAGGGAGAGATGGGCGAGGTGGGGACACAGGTGGGCATTGCCCTGTGAGGAGGCGGGGCTCAGATGGGCGGGCACTTACCTGTGAGGAGGCGGGGCTCAGGTGGGCGGGCGCTGACTGTCAGGAGGTGCAGGCAGCAGGTGAGGAGGCTGCCCGCGAGCAGACAGGCCAGGGCACCCGCCATGCCCAGCCAGCACGACCAACCCCACTCGTACTGCACACCCAGAAACACGTCCTGTGCCAGCAGCGTGGAGCGCTCCACATACACATCCACCGCGTACCACAGCGAGCCCACCAGCCCAGGCACTCCTGTGGGCAGTAACACACCACAACACACAGTAACACACCACAACACATAGCAACGCACCGCAACACACAGCAACGCACCGCAACACACAGCAACGCACCGCAACACACAGCAACGCACCGCAACACACAGCAACGCACCGCAACACACAGCAAAGCAACGCAACACACAAACCACCGCAACACACAGCAACACAACACAACCACACAGCAACACACCACAACACACCGCAACACACCACAATTCACGGTAACACACCACAACCTCACGGAAACACACCACAACCTCACGGAAACACACCACAACCTCACGATAACACACCACAACCTCACGGTAACACACCACAACCTCACGGTAACACACCACAACCTCACGGTAACACACCACAACCTCACGGTAACACACCACAACCTCACGGTAACACACCACAACACACGGTAAGACAACACAACACACGATAAGGCACCATAAAAACACGGTAAGACACCATAAACACACGGTAAGACATCATAAATCACACGGTAACACACCATAAAACTCCGTAACACACCATAAACATAATGTAACATACAGTAACACACCGTAACATACAGTAACACACCATAACATACAGTAACACACCATAACATACAGTAACACACCAGAACTGGCACACCTGTGGGCAGTAACATACAGTAACAGCAGTCACTGACCTGCTATACATCCCCCGCCCTGTCCATTCCACCATTGACATTCAGGCCTTCAACCTGTCTGCCTCCACCCTCTGGAACTCCATCCCACAGTCCCTCCACCTTGCCCACTCCTCTTTGACCACGCCTTTGGCCACCCTCCAGCCCTCCCGATCCTAACCCCCAGCTCGGGTCAAATCCCTGTCTGTGCAATGCCTTTGGACATCCTCCTGACCTGACAGTCACTGTGTAAATGTAATTGTTGTTGATGTTGTTGGGGTTGCCTTACCTGCCAGCAGCAGGAGGACTCCAGCGAGGAAGCAGACCCTGGCTTTGCCGGGTAGCTGGTCAGGGAGAAGTTTGATACAATCCAGGCCGAGGATGAGGATGAGGAAGGCGATGCCAGCGAGGATGTCGGCAATGATCATCACAGCCCGGGTCAGCACCAGCTTCACTGCCGAGCAGGCGAGGAGCGAGAGGTGAGGCTGGTGTTACTCAAGGAGCTGCACGTTCGGCTCCCGTTTGCCATGTTTGACGTGTAATTGCCACATGTTTGCCATATGTTTGCGCGCGTTTGCCGCGTGTTTGCGGGATGTTTGGTGTGTGTTTCCTGTGTGTTTGCTGCATATTTGCCAAGTGTTTGCCCTGTGGTTTGCCCGCGGCCTGTGTCGGGTGGTGCTGGGACTCACACGGGTGCTCAGCCAGGATGGAATCGTGGTTGTCACACGTGCGAATGCCGTCAGTAGTGCTGGTCACACATTCCCACCACAGGCCCCGGCATTTCTGGCTGACCTGCAGGAGGAGCCGGGCACAGTCACTGTGGAGACACTCACACCCACACACACACCCTCTGCCCAGCCTCGCTGCCCACCACAGCCTGGGCACAGACACGGCAGAGACACTCGCTCCCCCTCTGCCCACAGGGAGCCGGGCACCGAGACCCTCAGCCACTGGTCAGAGGCCACTGGTCAGAGCCACAGACAACAGGAGAATTTGCTCCTTCACTTTTGTCATTTAAATGTTCTCTCTCTTTTGCTCTCCTCTCTCTCGCTTTCTCTGTCTATCTCTCCCTCACTACCTCCTCCCTCTCCCCTTCCTCTCCCACTCTTAGATAATTATTTGGGGAGGACAAGTTTGCAGGGCTATGGGGAGAGGGGGGAGTGGGGTTGATCAGGGCTATGGGGAGAGCGCGGGGGAGTGGGGTTGATCAGGGCTATGGGGAGAGCGCGGGGGAGTGGGGTTGATCAGGGCTATGGGGAGAGTGGGGGAGAGGGGTCGATCAGGGCTATGGGGAGAGAAGGGGGAGTGGGGTTGATTGGGGCTATGGGGAGAGTGGGGGAGAGGGGTTGATTTGGAAGCTCTTTTCAAAGAGCCGCCACAGACACGATGGGCCGAATGGCCTCCTTCTGTGCTGTATAATTCTATGATTCTTTCTCTCTCAATAATAACTTGTAGTTTCATTCCACAACTCATATACGGTCACGTTCCAGAGCATCCCTCCCCCTCTCTGCCTCGTTTTCTCTCTCTCTGTCTCGTTCTCTCTCTCTCGCTCTGTCTCGTTCTCTCTCTCTATCTCGTTCCTTCTCTCTTTGTCTCGTTCTCTCTCTCTCTGTCTCGTTCTCTCCCTCTCTGTCTCGTTCTCTCTCTCTCTCTCTCGCTCTGTCTCATTCTCTCTCTCTGTCTCTTGTTCTCTCTCGCTCTGTCTCGTTCTCTCTTTCTCTGTCTCGTTCTCTCTTTCTCTGTCTCGTTCTCTCACTCTCTGTCTCGTTCTCTTTCTCTCTCTGTCTCATTCTCTCTCTTTGTTTCATTCTCTCTCTCTGGCTCGTTCTCTCTGTCTTGTTCCCTTTCTCTCTGTCTCGTTCTCTCTCTCTCTCTCTGTCTCATTCCCTCTCTCTCTGTCTCATTCTCTCTCTCTCTCTCTGTCTTGTTCTCTCTTTCTCTGCTCGTTCCCTCTCTGTCTTGTTCTCTTTCTCTGTCCGTTCTCTCTCTCTCGCTCTATCTCATTCGCTTTCTCTGTCTCATTCCCCCTCTCTCTGTCTCGTTCCCCCTCTCTCTGTCTCGTTCCCCCTCTCTCTGTCTCGTTCCCCCTCTCTCTGTCTCGTTCTCTCTCCAGAATGAGGGCAATTTAATCTTTTATTTTTCTCTATTTAACTTGTAAACACAGTGTTTAACGTGTGGTGTGAAGGGCTTTTAAGCACGAAAAACTCCACTGAGGTCATGTGGGTGGCTGGGCTCTGCTGCTCAGAGGGTTAATGTTAATCATTACCGATAATAGAGGGTTAATGTGTGTTGAGGACAGTTAATGATTACTGTTATTACGACCTGGTCCTGGCCTGTCCCTGTGGCTCTGCACGTCTCCCTCACAAGGGTCAGTTACTGCGCGTGCGAGAGGCCGCTCCGACAACCCGTCACCATCGCCCCCGGATCACAAAGGCCATCATTAAACTGCGCTTGTGTGGCTAATGGCATCTCCTGTTCCAGCCACTGGGTTAATAACCAAACTTGGCACATTCTTTCTTTCAAAATCACCATTCAGACACGTCTCACGGTTTCTCACACAGCAACCAGCGGCTTCAGGAGAGTGTCTCAGCACACAGAATTATAACAGGTTCACAGTGGAGAGAAAGGCCATTCAGTACATCACTGTCTGTGCTGGAGCTCGCTCCCCCACTGGAGCTCTCTACTCTAACCCCATTCTCTGCTCTCTCTCTCCCCATGGTGTCTGTGCTGGGGCTCGCTCCCCCACTGGAGCTCTCTACTCTAACCCCATTCCCTGCTCTCTCTCTCTCTCTCCCCATGGTGTCTGTGCTGGGGCTCGCTCCCCCACTGGAGCTCTCTACTCTAACCCCATTCCCTGCTCTCTCTCTCTCCCCCCATGGTGTCTGTGCTGGGGCTCGCTCCCCCACTGGAGCTCTCTACTCTAACCCCATTCTCTGCTCTCTCTCTCCCCATGGTGTCTGTGCTGGGGCTCGCTCCCCCACTGGAGCTCTCTACTCTAACCCCATTCCCTGCTCTCTCTCTCTCTCTCCCCATGGTGTCTGTGCTGGGGCTCGCTCCCCCACTGGAGCTCTCTACTCTAACCCCATTCCCTGCTCTCTCTCTCTCTCCCCCCATGGTGTCTGTGCTGGGGCTCGCTCCCCCACTGGAGCTCTCTACTCTAACCCCATTCTCTGCTCTCTCTCTCCCCATGGTGTCTGTGCTGGGGCTCGCTCCCCCACTGGAGCTCTCTACTCTAACCCCATTCTCTGCTCTCTCTCTCTCCCCATGGTGTGAGTGCTGGGGCTCAGTCCCCCACTGGAGCTCTTTACTCTAACCCCATTCTCTGCTCTCTCTCTCTCCCCATGGTGTGAGTGCTGGGGCTCAGTCCCCCACTGGAGCTCTTTACTCTAACCCCATTCCCTGCTCTCTCTCTCTCCCCATCGTGTCTGTGCTGGGGTGGATTCGAGCCTCCCAGTGATTGTATGAAGCAGGTCGGTAGCTGCGATGCTGAGTCAGCGCGGACCCGCCTGGTGATGGTGAACAGCCGGTTGCCGTCTGTGATCAGACGTGGCTCTCAGCGAGTGAGATAGTGAGGGAGGGAGGAAGGGAGGAAGCTAGCGCACAAACTAAGGAGCGAGAGAGGAAAGGAGGGAGGGATGGACAGAAGAAGATAGCAGGGGGGGGTTTCGATCCACGTGTCCGCTACGCCTCGTGCCCTCACCTCCAGGCTGTCATCCGAGTTGACCATCCAGCAGTCAGTCCACGTGGCCACAATGAGGAAGGTGACTGCGACAGAAGCCATGAGAAACCCAACGTAGGGCAGAGCCTCTCGCATTGTCCCCACACTCACATTCACACTCACACACACAGCCCCCTCCAAACACACACAGACACACACACACACAGCCCTCTCCACACACACACATACACACAGCCCTCTCCACACACACTCACACAGGCCCCTCCAAACACACACACACAGCCGCCTCCACTCCCCCTGCGAGGAGTCTCGCTCACAGCACAGTTTGGTCGTCCAAAACTCCTCTTCCAACTGGAGGCTGACGCGAGCTCTGGTCCGTGGCTGGTGTCAGGGTGGGGGCGATGGGGACTGTGTTAATGACTGAGCTGAGTGAGGAATGTGGCCAATCAGAGGCTCTGAGGGAGTCTGGGCAGTGCTCACGACCATCGGCAAAAAGCAGGTTAAGGAGCGGGTGAAAGTGATGCTATTTTGCCTCTCGAATCACCTTTAGTTCAGGTGAGACGTTAACCCGAGCTCCACCTGCACCACGTTCTGGCAGGAATTAAAGCTCCTAACAGTGTTGTTGGGAACCGAGAAGGGAGTTTTTCTCTCCTGATGTCCTGGCCAGGCATTCCCTGGATAAGTCAGTCAATTATTGGTGTGGTTTGGTGGTTACACTCAGCACAGAGCAGGGCTGAGATCACGTTCATTTTTTCACTGAATGTTTTTTAAAAAACAACTTCCAAATTCACACAGGATTTCAGAATTTTACCTAACTTCTGGATTTCACCTTAAATTCTGAGCCCAAGCGGTCTTAAGGCTATGACTGGGGTGAATTTTGAGGCTCTAATGTCTGATGTCTGAACAAAATAAAGTAATAAGAGGTGCAATAAAGAGTGAGAAAAATCTTACGAGGGATATTCAAGAGCAACAGTGAAAGCTTTTATAAATATATTAAGAGAAAGAGAGTGGTAAAAGGGAATGTGGGCCCATTAAACACTACAATGGACAATAAGGAAATGGCAGGCTTGTTGAATAAATACTTTGCTTCCATTTTCACAATAAAGAGGACAAAATATCAGGGGTATAAGGTAAAGTAAAGTAAAGTAAAGTAAAGGGTAAAGTAAGCCAAAAGAGAAGAACTAAATGGATTTAATATAAATTTAAAAAATTATAATGGAGAAAATAATGGGTCTAAAGATAGACAAATCTCCAGGACCTGATAGATTCCATCCCTTGGTATTAAAAGACATAGGGGAGGAAATTGCAGATGTGTTAGTCATAATTTTCCAAAGCTCTATATCCGGGAATTGTGCCCTTGAATTAGAGAATTGCAAATGTCACTCCATTATTTAAGAAGTGGGGGAGGGAGAAACCAGGTAACTACAAACCTGTCAGCTTCACTTCAGCTGTGAGTACGTTACTGGAATCTCTCATCAGGGACAGAGTGACTGAGCACTTGGACAAGTATGAGCTAATCAAAGAGTCAGCGAGGATTTGGGAATAGGTAGGTCATGCCTGATGAATCTAATGAATTTTTTGAGAAGGCCACTAACATGGAGAGTGTCTGTGGATGTCATCTAAATGGACTTCCAGAGGCATTTGATAAGGTTCCTCACAAGAGGTTATTTAGCAATAATAATAGCGCATGGAATGGGAGGTAACCTTGCAACGTGGCTTGGTAATTGGGTAGGAGGCAGGAAACAGAGAGTAGGGAGAGGGAAACGTCCTTTGATTGTTGGGACATGACAAGTGGTGTCCCCCTGGGGTCTGTACTCAGGCCTCAGCTTTTCACCATAAATATAAATGACTTGGATGAAGGAATAGAGAGTTTTATATCAGAATTTGCAGATTACGCAAAGTTAGGAGGCACAGCAAATTGTGTAGATGGGAGCAGGAAGATACAAAGGGACTTAGATAGATTAAGTGAGTGGGCAAAACTGGGCAGATGGAATTCAATGTGGGGGAATGTGAGGTCATCCACTATGGATCTAAAAATAGCAAAACAGAATATTTTCTAAACAACAACAAAATTACATTTGTATTGCGTCTTTTACATCGAGAGGATGTCAAAAATGGTGAGAAACTAGGAAATGTGGAAGAGCAAAGGGATTTGTGTGTCGACATATAAATATCACTAAAAACAAGGGCAGGGATTGGAGTTTGGGGTAAGGCAGGGTGAGGGGGTGGGAGTGAGGGGTGTGGGGGTGGGGCAGGGGGTATTGGGGTGGGAGTGGAGATGAGGTGGGGAGGTCGGGATGGAATGGGGGTGAGGCAAGGGGTGGGGTTGGGCCTGAGGCAGGGTGAGGGAGAGGCGGAGGGGGTATTGGGGTGGGAGTGGAGGTGAGAGTGGGGTGTTGCTGGCAGAGCAGAGCCCTGGATGCTCAGAATGTTCTGGTTCTTTAGCTGATGAGAACATACTGTCTGTGCGGCTCCCCCACCCCGACACGCACACACAAGGCTGGTCTCTGAGCTCTGTGCCACACTGTGCTGAGTACAACTCAACCTCACAACAATGTCGCTGATCCTGGCTCCCACGCCCTGTACGTCCGGTCCCACACTCCCCCCGCGTTCACTCCCTCTCTCTGGGTAAAGTTGTTCACTCTGACTTGAGCCAATTGTGCACAGCAGAGTCCCACAAACAGTTGTGTATTGAGTGACCAATTTATTGTAAATATATTTTTTAAGGGATTATTATCCCCGGAAAGCGATCCGTCCATCGACTAACAAGCGGGTTCCTCCTTACTGCTGGTAAACAGAGGTGTGTGGGGTAAGGAAACTCGCCCAATGTTTTGCCCGGCCGGGAATCAAACCCAGGTTTGAGGATATATTTTGAGGAAAAGTCTTTCACACAGTCGTGGGACTAATGTATATTACATTAAGGTTGTTAATATTGAAAGAGACAAGGCAAAGTGTTTAATCTCCTCGAGCTTCTCTATATCTGCTCACTTGCGGCTCAATGAAATGTTCAGTGTTTATTGTGTTAACAGCTGAGGGCTGTACACGCGGTTTCTGTGCTGTAAAATCTAATGTAAGCACCTCTCTCAGGGCTGCTGGCAGTCAATGGGATTCGCTGCTCAGTTCTGGTCACCACAGAACAAAAAGGATATTGGAGAAATCGAGAAGATACAGAGGAGGGAAACTATAATTATTATAGGATATAGTACATAAGGAGTTTGGGACATCTGTGCATGTGACCACCAGGAAGGTGAAGGCAAACTAGATGGACCTTGGTCTTTTTTCGTCTAGAATTTCTTATGTTCTTATGCTCACACAGGGCTCGGCAGCAATCGTTCAGCTGGCCTCACAGTGAGAGTCTGATCACTGTTTTACCTCCATAGACACACACCTGGTACTAGCTGCTGATTTGAGGTGCAGCAGTGAGCACAGCTCTCTCTCCCCCAGCGCTCTCTCTCCCCCCAACGCTCTCTCTCCCCCAGCGCTCTCTCTCCCCCAGCGCTCTCTCTCCCCCAACGGTCTCTCACTCCAGCGCTCTCTCTCCCCCAGCGTTCTCTCCCCCCAGCGCTCTCTCTCCCCCAGCGCTCTCTCTCCCCCAGCGTTCTCTCCCCCCAGCGCTCTCTCTCCCCCAGCACTCTCTCTCCCCAGCGCTCTCTCCCCCAGCGCTCTCTCTCCCCCAGCGCTCTCTCTCCCCCAGCGCTCTCTCCCCCCAGCGCTCTCTCTCCCCCCAGCGCTCTCTCTCCCCCAGCGCTCTCTCTCCCCCAGCGTTCTCTTACCCCAGCACTCTCCCCCAGCGCTCTCCCCCCAGCGCTCTCTCCCCCAGCACTCTCTCTCCCCCAGCGCTCTCTCTCCCCCAGCTCTCTCTCCCCCCAGCATGTAGCTGAGGCCTCAGCCTGGACCAGGAGCTCAAGGAGCAACAGAAACAATGAATGGTGTAAAAAAGAGACGCCCAAAGCCATTTCATCGCAGCTGCCGTTGTCAGTGACTGAGTGAATCACAAATGAGTTTGTTACTAATTTAAGCCATATTTACGCCCAGCGTCGGTTGAGGAGAGACCACGGCAGCCGGTCTGTCAACAACACTGCGTCACCTACCCGGGCAGCATCCTCCTCACAACAGGGATGGGGCAGGGTGTCCAACATACACGCTGATCACCGTGATCAGCCGGATGTCTGACATGTTGCACATCAATGTGCTTGAGAGTCTCCAAAGGAGACTCGAGGTTCCATGTCTGTCACCTCCAATTGGGAATTTCTGTGTGTTGGGTTCAGGCCTGAGAGCAGTTACTGCGGAACAAACTCCAAACATACACTTTACATGAGATCCTGTGAATCCCTCAGAGGTTCTGATGATAAACTCTGGATGTAATGTTCTGGTGTTTATTATTATCATCATCTCACATTGTGGATTGTGACGTATGCAGTAGTTTATTGTGATGTGTGGAAAGTGTGTCAAAAAAGACTGGAGATGAAAGTCACACAAGTGGGGGGGGGGGGGGGGTGGAGCTCGTTGGCCAGGACACAGCGAGAGGAACTCCTTTCACTTTTCCAATCTCGCTGCGGGATCTTTAACGTTCACTTGAACTGACACTGAGCTGAGTTTAACGTCTCCTCTGAAAGCCGGTGCCTCCAGTGAAGCTGAGGAACACAGAGCTGTGAGTGTGAGCATCCAACCCCACCCTCACCCCCCTCCACCACCAGGGAGCCAGCGCAGGGCAGAGAGAGGTGAGGTGTTTCCAACACAACAAATGACATTTATTCAGCGCCTTTCACGTCGGGAGGACGTCCCAAAGCGATGAACAGTCAGGGATTTGGACCAGAGCTGGGGTTTGGGATCAGGAGAGGTCGAGGGCAGGGAGGGTGGGAGTAGGAGGGTAAGCAAAGTGGCAATCAGCTCGGCCCAGCCCAGAGCCGCCAGAGTCAAACCCAGCAGCTGGAAGATCTTGAGACGAGCCTTGAAGGAGGCAAGAGAGGGGCGAGGTGGAGGGACTGTGGGATAGGAGAAGGAGAAGGAGAAAAATTGTTGTGAAGTTGTGTGTAAGGCAGGAGGAGGGGGAGAGGTTTGAACTTGTTGATGGATGAGGAACAGAATGTAGTTACACATTCTCCCAGTGCTCTCTCTCTCCCCCAGCGTTCTCTCTCCCCAGTGCTCTTTCTCCCCCAGGTCTCTCTCTCGCCAGGGCTCTCTACCCCCAGCGCTCTCTCTCCCCAGCGCTCTCTCTCCCCCAGTGCTCTCACTCCAGCGCTCTCTCTCCCCCAGCGTTCTCTTACTCCAGCGCTCTCTCCCCCAGCGCTCTCCCTCCCCCCAGCACTCTCTCTCTCTCCCCAGCACTCTCTCACCTCAGCGCTCTCTCTCCCCCCAGCGCTCTCTCTTTCCCCCAGCGCTCTCTCCCCCAGTGCTCTCTCCCCCCGGTGCTCTCCCTCCCCCCAGCTCTCCCTCTCTCTCCTCTCAGGTCTCTCTCTCTCCCACCAGCTCTCTCTCTCACCCCAGCACTCTCTCCCTCTCTCTCCCCCCAGCTCTCTTTCGCTCTCCCCCCAGGTCTCTCTCTCTCTCTTTCCCCAGGTCTATCTCTCCCCCCCCCGTGCTGTCTCTCTCCCCCAGCGCTCTCTCTGTCCTCCAGGCCTCTCTCCCCCAGAAGTCTCTCTCTCCCCCAGCACTCTCTCTCTCCCCCAGCACTCTCTCTCTCCCCCCAGCGCGCTCTCTCCCCCCAGCGCTCTCTCCCCCCAGCAGTCTCCCTCCCCCAGCTCTCTCTCTCTCTTCCCCCAGCTCTCCCTCTCCCTCCCCCCCATCTCTCTCTCTTTCTCTCCCCCCATCTCTCTCTCTCTTTCTCTCCCCCATCTCTCTCTTTCTCTCCCCCCGGCTGACTCTCTCTCTCTCTCTCCCCCCGGCTGACTCTCTCTCTCTCCCCCAGGTCTCCCTCTCTGCCCCCAGGTGTTAGAATTTAAACTTTTTGTATAATGTTAGAATCATAATAGATGTTGCGAACGGGTTAACTTTTAAGTTAAGTGTTGGGGGACAACTGGACTGACACTCATGATTAACACTCAAGAGCAACAAGAATAGCAGCTAACGAGCGAGTTGCTTAAACTAGAGGACGTTGGTACCATCCCGGGACACTGATAAGAAATAACCAGTCACTTAAAAGGAATGTATTAATGATCCCACACCACAAAATAATGAGCACCAGATACAGCCCTAAACTGATCAATCCTCTATCTTAGACAATTAGATCAGATAACAGGGATCTTAAGGATAATGTGTATGTGTGTGAGGCACTACACCCCATGAGGTGCTCACGTACACCCGACATGATTTCAGCAGGTGATCTAATGTCCGCACCATGACTGGATGAACATCGGTATAAGAGTTCCGATAACTTTGTGAACGGGACTGTCCCAGGTCACGGAGACAAGGATACAGGAGATGGGGCCATCCCGGGCTGCGGAGACAAGGATACAGGAGATGGGGCCATCCCGGGTGCGGAGACAAGGATACAGGAGATGGGGCCCATCCCGGGTGCGGAGACAAGGATACAGGAGATGGGGCCGTCCCGGGTGCGGAGACAAGGATACAGGAGATGGGGCCATCCCGGGCTGCGGAGACAAGGATACAGGAGATGGGGCCATCCCGGGTGCGGAGACAAGGATACAGGAGATGGGGCCCATCCCGGGTGCGGAGACAAGGATACAGGAGATGGGGCCGTCCCGGGTGCGGAGACAAGGATACAGGAGATGGGGCCGTCCTGGGTGCGGAGACAAGGATACAGGAGATGGGGCCGTCCTGGGCTGCGGAGACAAGGGTACGGGAGATGGGGCCATCCCGGATCGCGGAGACAAGGGTACTCAGATGGAAGACTGTTATAAGATCTGTTGATTGTGCCGGCCTTTGGTCTGACCCATCGGGATATTGGGGAATAACGAACAAAAAATAATAAAAGAGTCTGATATCTGGTTGCAAACGGATTATTACCTGATTTTATTTTCGAACAGATTTGGCGTAGTCGGCAGGATTCCCCAGTAAACAGACAAGGGAGGTACAATCAAGCCTTGAATCAGGTGTCTTAAGTCCACTGGTGCGTGTGAACGACATTCAAATATTTTTGATATATTGTGTGTCAATGTGGAAATTGTAAGTGATGGAGTAACTTTCGGGCGTTCGAACAGTCAGTGGGAAATCCCACATTACCTCCGGGTAAGGAGAGGGACCGAGACCGACAGTAATTGAATGTTGATTTCAATTGTGACTGTGGGCGCTGGAAATAACCTGTTGGTTACGACTGAGCTGTGAAACTCGAGAGAAAGCTCATTAAGAGAGTTTGCCTCCTGGAAGTACCATCCTCCCTCCCAGGTTGTGTGACCTTGTACTATTATTCTGACTTTGTATTATCTGTCCTTTTGTACTATCAGGTTGTGTAACCTTGTATTATTTTTCTGATTTTGTATTATACTCTTTTTGTAGTTTTGTGATATCTCATGTTCATTCAGTATCAAGGTGGGGACTGTTAGAATATACACTTTTTGTATAATGTTAGAATCATAATAGATGTTGCGAACGGGTTAACTTTTAAGTTAAGTGTTGGGGGACAACTGGACTGACACTCATGATTAACACTCAAGAGCAACAAAAGGCAACTCTCAAGAATAGCAGCTAACGAGCGAGTTGCTTAAACTAGAGGACGTTGGTACCATCCCGGGACACTGATAAGAAATAACCAGTCACTTAAAAGGAATGTACTAATGATCCCACACCACAAAATAATGAGCACCAGATACAGGCCGCACCATGATTGGATTAACATCGGTATAAGAGTTCCGTTAACTTTGTGAAAGGGGCCGTCCCGGGTCACGGAGATAAGGATACGGGAGATGGGGCCATCCCGGGTCGCGGAGACAAGGATACGGGAGATGGGGCCATCCCGGGTCGCGGAGACAAGGATACGGGAGATGGGGCCGTCCCGGGTGCGGAGACAAGGGTACAGGAGATGGGGCCGTCCCGGGTGCGGAGACAAGGGTACGGGAGATGGGGCCGTCCCGGGTGCGGAGACAAGGATACTCAGATGGAAGACTGAGAGCTGGAAACACTAAGACTGAGGATATCAGATGGAAGATTGAAAGCTGTCGGCAAGAAGACTGACAGTATGAAGACTCAAACTTGTGGGCTGGAAAGACACAGTGTTGAACTCAAGATATCTACGGTGGTATTATTCTGTTATAAGATCTGTTGATTGTATTGGCCTTTGGTCTCTGACCCATCGAGATATTGGGGAATAACGAACGAATAATAATAAAACAGTCTGATATCTGGTTGCAAACGGATTATGACTGATTTTATTTTCTAACACAGGTCTCTCTCCCCTCAGCGCTCTCACTCTCGCCCCCCAGCACTCTCTCTCTCCCCCCCCAGCTCTTTCTCTCTGCCCCAGCGCTCTCTCTCCCCCAGCGCTCTCTCCCCCCAGCATGTAGCTGGGGCCTCAGCCTGGACCAGGAGCTCAGGGAGCAACAGAAACAATGAATGGTGTAACAAAGAGACGCCCAAAGCCATTTCATCGCAGCTGCCGCTGTCAGTGACTGAGTGAATCACAAATGAGTTTGTTACTAATTTAAGCCATATTTACGCCCAGCGTCGGTTGAGGAGAGACCACGGCAGCCGGTCTGGTCAGGTGAGCTCGTTGGCCAGGACACAGCGAGAGGAACTCCTTTCACTTTTCCAATCTCGCTGTGGGATCTTTAACGTTCACTTGAACTGACACTGAGCTGAGTTTAACGTCTCTGAAAGCCGGTGCCTCCAGTGAGGCTGAGGAACACTGAGCTGTGAGTGTGAGCATCCAACCCCACCCTCACCCCCCTCCACCACCAGGGAGCCAGCGCAGGGCAGAGAGAGGTGAGGTGTTTCCAACACAACAAATGACATTTATTCAGCGCCTTTCACGTCGGGAGGACGTCCCAAAGCGATGAACAGTCAGGGATTTGGACCAGAGCTGGGGTTTGGGATCAGGAGAGGTCGAGGGCAGGGAGGGTGGGAGTAGGAGGGGAAGCAAAGTGGCAATCAGCTCGGCCCAGCCCAGAGCCGCCAGAGTCAAACCCAGCAGCTGGAAGATCTTGAGACGAGCCTTGAAGGAGGCAAGAGAGGGGCGAGGTGGAGGGACTGTGGGATAGGAGAAGGCGATGGAAAAATTGTTGTGAAGTTGTGTGTAAGGCAGGAGGAGGGGGAGAGGTTTGAACTTGTTGATGGATGAGGAACAGAATGTAGTTACACACAGACAAGTTAGGACAGAGGCTTGGACAGCAGTGGCTGGGGATCTGCTGTGTGTGAAAGGTGTGGCTCTGCTCGTCACGCATATCAGCCCCCCCCCACCTCCCTCTAACCCAGTCCTGCCTGGACCTGAGTAAAGGAAGCAGCTAACCTCACACTCACAGCTCATTGTCCCTCACACAGCAGCAGACAAAGCCGTCGTGTTGGGTTTGGTACTGTTGGTTGGCTGTGGTGTGTTGCTGGGAGCAGAGAATGGCTAACTCCGGGTTCCAGCTGCTGGGTTTGACTCTGGCGGCTCTGGGCTGGGCTGGGCTGATCGCCACCGTTGCGCTGCCCCAGTGGAAGATGTCATCTTACGCCGGAGACAACATTGTGACGGCGCTGGCCATCTACGAGGGGCTGTGGATGTCGTGCGCCGCCCAGAGCACAGGCCAGATACAGTGCAAAGTGTACGACTCCCTGTTAGAGTTGGACAGTGAGTGACCTGGAAGGGGGGAGGGGTGGGCAGGAGAGAAGTGGGGGGGTGGAGATGTGGCGAGAGGGGGAAGGGGCTGGTGAAGGGGCAGAGGGGAGGGATGTGGGGAGGTGGGACGGGGTGGGGAGGTGGGAAGGAGGGAAGGGAGAGGAGGAGGCGCAGGAAAGAGTGTGATGGGAGAGGAGATGGTGAGGGTGGGAGATGAGAAGGGGAAGGAATTGGGTGGGGAGGGTGGGGGAATGCATACATCCGGCTGAGCTCTTTTTCTCTTTCTTTCTAACTTCCTTTGTATTTAAACGCAGAGACATTGTGCAGTAACAGCTTTCACAGCAGTTTTAAGGTTAAGGAGTTATGTGGGCTCTTAGGGTTCAAGTGGCACCAACGGTTTGTGTGTATGTGTATTTCACCAACAAAACATACAGTCACTCCACTTTTCAGTGTATCCTGTGAAGTGCTTTGAAACGTCTCTAAGATGTGATAAGGTGCTATATCAAATGCAAGGATTATTATTATTGTGTGTATGTGAGAGAGGGTTGTGTGTGTTTGTGTGTATGTGTGTGTGTGTGTGCGGTCGGAGAGCAATGCTGACAGGACAAGACGTGTCAGAAGGAGAATCTGCCGCATTTTTTCAAATCACTTTTCTATAAGGCTGAGTTTTCGGCTGGCTAACTTACGGAATTTCTTATCAGGTTCCTCAGTCAGAAATACACAATAATCCACTTTCTAACTTCAATCAGCAACAAGTTACACACGGAGCAACATCTCCAGGACATTGTGTAGTTTAGATAGTGGATTCCTTGATTAGACATTCGGCAAATTAGACTCCCTTCTTGTCTCCCCACCCCCACTCCACCTCTTCTTCTCTCTCCTCTTCCTCCCTCTCCTCTCCCTCCCTCTCCTCTCCCCATTCTCCTCCCACCGACGGCACTCAGGTCCGTGCTCAGTCTGTCCCCCGGGGCTGGAGGTGGTGTGGGCGGCTCCGCGCTGTCACCACGCCCGGGGGCACACGACATGCGAGCGACCAGCGACTAACAGTCTGAAAACAGCGTCGAGCCCAACCCTGTCCCCACACAGCAGCTCCAGCAGCGGCTGCTTATTATTTTAGGTTAGGTTTTTAAGGTTGGCAAAAGCCAAGGCTTGGGGGGAGCCCAGAGTGTGTGTTGGGGTAACTGCTGGAGTCTAACCAGCTAAACCCACACAGCTTGTGGTCCAGCCAATGAGCCAGTCTGGGCTGTGCAGTCATCAGCAGTGCCCTGGAATACTGTGGACCTGTCTGGCTCAGGAACTGGACTAGAGACCATCAGTGATGTCAAGGCATTGGAGACCGTGCAAAGGAGATTGACCAGGATGGTACCAGGAATGAGGGCCTTCAGTTATCAGGAGAGGCAGAGAAGTGAGGATTATTCTCCTTGGATCAGAGAAGGTTAAGAGGAGACTTAATAGAAGTTTTCAAAATTATGAGGGATTCGATAGGGTACAAGGAGAATCTATTCCCACTGGTGGGTGGGTCGGAAACCCGAGGACACCGATTTAAAATAGTTGTTAAAGGAAACAGAGGGGAGGGGAGGAGAAATATTTTCACACAGCAAGTTGTTGGGATCTGGAATGCATTGCCTGAAAGGCTGGTGGAAGCTGATTCAATAACAACTTTTAACAGAGAAGTAAAAAAGTAGAAAAGCACAGACACGATGTGCCGAATGGCCTCCTTTGGTGCTGTACAATTCTATGATGATAATTATTTTGGGAGGACAGGTTTGCAGGTCTTTGGAGAGAGCGTGGGGAAGTGAGATTGATTTGGAAGCTCTTTTCGAAGAAATAGCACAGACACGATAGGCCGAATGGCCTCCTTCTGTGCTGTATAATTCTATGATTCTATGAATGAAGCAGGTCTTGCTTATCGAGCACATGGTATTATTGTGTGGGTCAGAGTGTTCCGGCGTTATCCACTGAGCCATTGGCAAGGAGCCTCACCCGGAATTCACTTCTCCAGGAATCAGGCAATAGGCTGAAAATGTGACATCTCACATATGATAATCATCACATTATAACTATTGCAAAATTTTATCACATGGGATGTGTTGGTCTGCAATCCAAAAGCTATTGTGTCCAATTGGTCACCAGCCTGTGATTGAGGCTGGATCCCATTTGCTGGGCTTCCCAACCTGGAGTGATGGGCTCTGGCAATTCTGAGACCATCACCCGCAGACGCTCAGCCTCAGCTGGCTGGCAGGGGGGATGGCTGGCTGGGGAGGGGATGGCTGGTGGGGGGGCGAGGCTGTCTGGCTGGGGGATGGCTGGCAGGGGGGGTGGCTGACTGGGGGGATCGCTAGCTGGGGGATGGCTGGCAGGGGGGATAGCTGGCTGGGGGTGGCTGGCAGGGGGGATGGCTGGGGGGATGGTTGGCTGGCGGTGGATGGTTGGCTGGGGGTGCGTGGCTGGCTGGGGGTGATGGCTGGCTGGCGGAGATGGATAGCTGGGTGGGGGTGCCTGGCAGTGGGGATGGCTGGGTGGGGGTGGCTGGCAGGGTGGATGGCTGGCTGGATGGGGGTGGCTGGCAGGGGGGATGGCTGGCAGGGGGGTGGCTGGCTGGGGGGATGGCTGACTCGGTGGGATGGCTGGCTGGGGGAGGATGGCTGGCTGGGTGGCGGTGGCTGGCAGGGGGGATGGCTGGGTGGGGGTGGCTCGCAGTCGGGGTGGCTGGGGGGATGGTTAGCTGGCAGGGGATGGCTGGCAGGGGGTGTGTGGCTGGCTGCGGAGGGATGGCTGGCTGGGGGGGATGGCTGGCTGGGAAGCTGGGGGGCTGGCGGGATGGCTGGCTGAGAAGCTAGGGGAATGGCTGGCTGGGGCCTGGGAGATGACTGGTTGGGGAGCTGGGGGGATGGCTGGTTGGGGAGCTGGGGCTGGGTGGATGGCTGGTTGGGGAGCTGGGGGCTGGGTGGTGTGGCTGGTTGGGGAGCTGGGGGCTGCGAGCTGGGGTGATGGCTGGCTGGGGGCTGGGGGATGGCGGGTTGGGGAGCTGGGGCTGGGGGATGGCTGTTTGGGGAGCTGGGGGCTGGGGGGATGGCTGGTTGGGGAGCTGGGGGCTGGGGGATGGCTGACTGTGGGCTGGGGGATGGCTGGTTGGGGAGCTGGGGGCTGGGGGATGGTTGGCTGGGGAGCTGGGGGCTGGGGGATGACTGGCTGGGGGGCTGGAAGCTGGGGGGATGGCTGGCTGGGGGGCTGGGGAGCTGGGGGCTGGTGGCTAGGGGATGGCTGGCTGGCTGGGGAGCTGGGGGCTCGGGTCTCGGGGAATGGCTGGCTGGGGAGCTGTGGCCTTGGGGCTAGGGGGATGGCTGGCTGGGGAGCTGTGGCCTTGGGGCTAGGGGGATGGCTGGCTGGGGAGCTGTGGCCTTGGGGCTAGGGGGATGGCTGGCTGGCTGGGGGGCTGGGGGAATGGCTGGCTGGCTTGGGGGATGACAGAGAGTAACAGAAACGGGGTGAGATGCAGGGATAGAGACAGTCAGAGAGGAGGGGTGAGATAGAGGGATGAAGACAGAGAGGAGCTGTGAGTACAGGAACAAAGTGCAGAGTGACAGAGGGAGTGAGGAATGACGTGATGGGGGTGTGAGTGAGTGTTGCTCACCCTCTCCCTCTCTCTCAGGTACGCTGCAGGCCACACGAGCGCTGATGGTGATCTCGCTGCTCCTCGGAGCCCTGGCCATTCTGGTCGCTATCACCGGCATGAAATGTACCAACTGTGGTGGCGACGACAAGGTCAGGAAGAGCCGGATTGCCACCATGGGGGGTGGCCTCTTCATCGTCGCAGGTATTGGGGGGGGCTCTTCATCTTCATTATTTCAGGTACTCGTGGAGTGGGGGGGTGGGGAGGTGGTCATGAGGGGTAGGCATTGGAGGTGTGACCGGGAGGGCAGGAGCTTTGCTGTGGAATTTTGTGTCTATCAGAAGATGACGGAATTTGGATTACGAATAATGTCTTTGCTCTCCCTTTCTCTCTCATTGTCTCACTGTCTCACTCAGGCCTGGCTGCACTGGTTGCCACTGCCTGGTATGGGAACGGAGTAGCCCGGGAGTTTTACAGTCCCTTCACCCCCGTCAACACAAGGTAATTTTAGACTGTCACTCAGCGCTGACACCCTCAATCCTTCACCTCCTCTCTCCAGACACACAGTAGCCGGGTGGTGGCATGGTGGGGGTAGGGGGCAGTCCGTCAGCAGGATCTGGAAGGGTAGACCAGTCCCACTCAACTCCTCCTTACTTAACCCTCAGGTAAGGTGGTCCTAGTTGGACACACAGTGGGAAACCTTGCCAGACAGTAGCGAACTGTGTAGTTTTAGCTGGTTAGACTCTAGCAGTTACCCTAATGCACACTCTGGGTTTCCAAAACCTTGCCTCTTGCCAACATGCGCCTAATACTTTTCAGAATTAGGTAAGCAGGAAGCATCCCTCCAGGGAATGAGAGAGAGAGCGCATTCATACCAACAATCTATGTCTGGGATTTCCATGTGTAGGTGGATGGAATTCTCAGCTTGGTTTGGATAGATTTAAGCACCATGGTGGGTTTCCATGTGTGCAGACACCCGGCTGATCACGGTGACAGGTTTCCATGTGTGTCAGATGCCCGGTTGAGCTATGTATTGCAGTCAGTGAGATGCTGTGGTGTTTAGGGGTTGGGCTGGGTCTCGTTCGCCCTCTGACCCTCTCTCTCTCTCTCTCTCCGTGGCAGGTTTGAGTTTGGCCACGCCCTGTTTATCGGCTGGGCGGCCTCTGCCCTCACCATCCTGGGGGGCTCCTTCCTGTGCTGCTCACTGTCCAAGAGCGTAGGGGGGTCATATCCTGCCCGGGGCGGGCAGTACCCGCGCTCCGCACCCCCCAAGGACTACGTGTGAGGCGGAGCCTGGGTACCTCAGCCAAAAATGTCTTTGGTTAAAGTTCTGGATCTCTTGTTGCCTTTGATGATGGTTCGTTTCAGGTGGGACAGGAAAGGGCAACAGCTCTCGGTCTATTCCAGTTCTTAACATCTCAGATTTTAAACAGTAATTGGCTTTCCGTCCTCAGGTCTTGTAACAATACTGTAACCTCTCAAAGTGTGTTTTTTTTTACATTTGTTAAAGTTTAAGTACAGTGTAACCAGGAAATAAATAAACATCTCTTCATAAGAAACTCCTCTCTCAGCTCAAGGTCCTGTCACGCACTGGGTCAGGGTTAAGGTTAGGTTTAAGGTCAAGGATTAGAGTCATGGTTAGGAGTGGGAGCAGTGTTGGGTATCGGGGCAGAGTTAGGTCATGGGTGAAATTTAGGGTCAGGTTTCAGGGTCAGTATTTTACATCCCTGGACACCCCTGGAGAGAGTGTCTCCACACACCGATATTGAATCTGTGAGCCGTGTGAGCAGTCAATAGAACAATGGCCATTTATCCAGCACCTTGTTTTCAGAGAAAATGGAAAAGAAGTAAAGTAGTTGCCAGTTAAACTGAGTGTGAACAGGTGTGAGCTGGTGTGAGATGTGGCCAGATTCTCGACAGTAATTCTCAGTGTGAAAGTTGTTTCTCATGCGTGTTCTCACTATGTGCCAAGTCCATGCCGCTAGGCAGAGCCTGACATTAACATGGAAGTGTTTGGCAATGGCCTGTTGTGTGCTGAGTGCACAGACCTGTGCAGACCTGTCACCAGCCCGCAGACACTTCCTGTTTTTCAATCAATGAGGATTTGTTTTCTTATCTCCACGATTAAAGCAGATTCTGGCAGAATCTTTCTCCTCAGTCCCCAGGCTGGGAGTTTATCAAACATTGGGAAAGAGCTGGGAGTCTCTATCTTGCTTTCTTTCTGACATTCCCCGAATAACATCACTGTGTGGTGGGTGGGGTTTGTAAATTGGCTATTGCGCTTGCCCTCAGATATACAAGCCATTGAGATGAGATGTTAAACCGAGCTCCCGTCTGTGATAAAATTGGGATAAAATTGGTCATTCACTTCATGGATGTTTATGGGATGTTGTGCGAAAATGGGTTTACCCACAAATCATACAGTCACTACACGTTACAGTAAATCCTGTGATCCGTGCTCCTGGCTGTATCGAGAGTTATGATTATTATCGTTGATGGATCTAAAATGCGGGTTTTCTAATGTGATTCCTTAACAAAGAAGTGGAGCGTTCACGGCAACCCTTGGGGCGCCACCTACTGGTAGAGTGGAGTCTCAGCGGCGATTCTCATTAAGGAATTGGTTGAGGAATTCCACACATTCCTGCTCGCTGTTTGTCTGGAGCCAGGAAAGGATTTTTGTCGAGTTGCCACTTGCAGCAACTTTGTCACAGGAACAGTCTCAAGCCTCCTCTTTGACTGTGCTTTCATCCACCCATCCCCCTACCTCCCACCTCCATCCCTCTTGATTCCACCCCCAGCTCGGGTGCCAAGCCTTCACTGTCCAGCACTTTGATCCGTCCTCCCGAAGTGAAAGGTGCTGTGTGAATGCAATTTTGTTGTTGTTGTTGTTGTTACTGAAGTCTGCCACCTCTACAGTCCAGAGGCAGAACTACACATCCTGCGGAATGGGTATTGGGCAGCGTGGGATGGGCTGAGCCACACCACATGCAGAGTGACAGACCCACTCCCATTCTCCCCCCCCCCCCCTCCCGCTGCCGCTTCCTCTCAGTGAGTGTCAGCAGGGAGTGGGATTGGATGAGGGGTGGGAGGTAAAAGCAGCCCTCATCTATCCTAACTGCGTCACCTACAAAACAACAGTTACTGTACTTCACACCAAAACCATGTGAAGAGCTTTCAATGACTTGACCATGTGATAATGCGCTGCATGAAACATAAGGATTATTATTATAATGGAAAAGAGCGAGGAGAAGTTTGGGATGAGGACAACAACAACAAAAAATGACATTTAGCGCCTTTCACGTCGGGAGGACGTCCCAAAGCGCGGAACAGTCAGCTGTCGGGGCCCGAGCATGGGGGAGTGGTGGTGTAGAGATGAGGGACGTCAGAGAGGTGGGAGGGAGACCAAAGGCACAGTTGAAGACAAGGGTCTTGAGACTGGCTTGAAGGATGCGAGGGAGGAAGCGAGGCGAAGGGACCGTGGGATGGAGTTCCAGAGTGTGGATTGCAAAGAGGCTGAAAGCCCGGCCACCGATGGTAGGACGGGTTGGGTGGGAGACATGGAGTAGGCCATAGCCCGATGAATGGAGGGAACGGGCAGGTTGGTAAGGAGATGGTTTCACAGGCGGAGCGATCACTGACACGGACGCGAAGGATCGTTGAGTGTCCCGGTACGAGAGATGTGTCTGGTGTGTGAGATCCAGTGACAATGGACCTCCATGCCCTCTCCTGCCACAGGCTCAGGGCAGCCAGCAGGGGGCAACGATAGGTTTCTCCTCCGGTAGGTTTTCAGGTAGAAAATATTGATGGTGTTTTCCCCTTAATGGAGAGAATTCAAAGTATTTGTTTTAACATTCTCATGAATGAAACCATTTGTTAATCTTCACATCAGAGGCTCAGACCATTTACTGCAGCAAACAGCCAGGCCTGTGTGTGTGTGTGTGTAGCCAGTTTGTGGACAGAGTCCACATTCCATGTGGCCAGTGAAGCTTCCCTGCTCCCAATCTGACCCCAATCCCAATCCCGCCCTGAACCCATCCCACCCTGATCCCAATCCCACCAGAACCCAATCCCAACCTGATCGCAATCCCAATGCCACCTTGATCCCAATCCTACTCCGATCCCAATCCCATGATGATCTCAATCCCATCCCAATCCCACCCTGATCCCAATCCCACCCTGATCCCAATCCCACAACAATCCCAACCCATCCCAATCCCACCGTAATCCCAATCCCACCCTGATCCTCAATCCCACCATGATCCCAATCCTATCTCGATCCCAATCCCACCCTGATTCCAAACCCACACAAATCCCAATTCCAGCTTGATCCCAATCTCACCTTTATCCCAATCCCACAACAATCCCACCCTGACCCCAATCACATCCCAATCCCACCCTGATCCCAATGATAACCCGATCCCAATTGCATCCTGATTCCAATCCTATCCGGATCCCAATCCTACCCTGATCTCAATCCCAATTCCACCCCAATCCCACCCTGGTCCCAATCCCACCCTGATCCCAATCATAATCTGACGCTATACAAATGTAATTTTCTTGTTGTGTTGTTGTTGATCTCAATCCCACCTTTATCATAATTCTACCCTGATCCAAGTCCCATCATTGTCTCAACCCCACCCGGATCCCAATCCCAAACCCATCCTGATCACAATCCCACCCGATCCCAATCTGCATCCCATCCTGATCCCTATCTCAATCACATCCTGATCCAAATCCTACCCTGATCACAATCATAATCCCACCCTGATTCCGATCCCATCCTGATCCCAATCCCACTCTGATCACAATCCCACCTTAATCCCAATCACACCCTGATCCTAATGCCACCCCGATAACAATCCCACTGTAATCCCACTCTGACCCCAATCCCACCCTGATCCCAATCCCATCCCAATCATAACCCGATCCCAATTGTATCCGGATCCCAATCTCAATTCTATCCAGATCCCAATCCTACCCTGATATCATTCCCAATCCCACTCGATCCCAATCCCACCCTGATCCCAGTCTCACCCTGATACCAATCATAACCTGATCCCAATTGCATCCTGATCCCATTCCTATCTGGATCCCAACCCTACCCTGATCTCGTTCCCAATCCCACCTAATCCCACCCTGATCCCAACCCAATCCCAATCCCACCCTGATCCCAATAATAACCCAATCCCAATTGTATCCTGATCCCTATCCCACCCTGATCCTACTGACACCCTGATCCCAATTCCAATCCCATCCTGATCCCAATCCCACCCTGATCCCATCTTGATCCCAATCCAGTCCTGACACCAATCCCAATCCCATCCTGATTCCAATTCTACCCTGATCACAATTCCAATCCCACCCTGATCTCAATCCCACCTTGATCACAATCCTTCCCTGATCCCAATCCCACCCTGATCCCAATTCCACCCCATCCCAATCCCATCGCAATCCCATTTTGATCCCAATCCCAACCTGATCCCAATCCCATTCTGATCCCAATCCCACCCCAATCGCAATGACCCAATGGTGGGACCAGTAAAGGAACTTCCCAGCAAGCCCTGCTCTGTGCCGAGTGTCTGTTTTGATCTGACAGAAAGCTCATTTACATTTGATACAGCGCTTTATCACATCATCAAAATTTCTCCAAAAGCTGCACAGGATATACTGCAAAGTGTAGTGACTGCATGCTTTGTTCGTGAACATAGCAGCCAATTTGCACATAGCAACATCCCGCAAACCACCATAAAGTGAGCAAGTGATTTTATCTGGGGGATTGTTGGCCAGGACACCGGGAAAGAGAAACTCCCTTTACTTTTCCAATAGCTCCGCGGGATCTTTAACGGCCCCTGAACAGGGTACAGACAGGGAGTGAGGTTTATTGTCTCCTCTGAAGGACGGCATCTCTGATAATATGCCCCGACCCCGCTGTGGAGTGGGTGAGACTGTGACTGGCTGTGTCAGCTGCAAATAAATAAAACCGTTCTGTTCCCAGGATTGATTATCCCAGAGGGTTACAATGCCAAACACTTTGTCACCAACTCAGCCCATCTCCCTCCCCTCTTGCTCTCACTTTCCCCCCTCGCCCTTGCTCTCCTCTCCCTTTCTCCCCTCTCCTTGTGTGCCCTCCCCCTCTTCTCCCCAGGGTATGGGTTAGCGTGTGGGAGCTCAGGGTGGGAGCTGGATTTGTAGCCCCCACACTTCACTACACAATGATACTAAATACACTTCCTTCCTCCGCTGTCGAATCCCTACATGTATGATCATGAAAAGGCATGTTTGCGAGAGTCATATATAAATAGTCGATGAAATGATAAGTGATGTGTGAAGTCGCGATGATTGACAGAGTGAAGATTGATTTAATCTCCTCGTCCCTTTCCCCTCACCTGCTGAGTCCCTGTCATTGTGTGTGTGTGTCGGGGTGGGGGGTGCTGTGTGGGGGGCTGTGTGTCGGGGTGGGGGTTGGCTGTGTGGGGGGGGGCTGTTTGTGTGTGGGGGGGGAGTGAGGTTGGCTGTTTGTGTGGGGGGGCTGTGTGTGGGGGGGCTGTGTGTGTGTGGG